AATGTATCTGCCCAGCCTTCCCCTACACTATTCCCTTAGATGAGTCTCCTGGCCCTGCTTCTACACCAGCTGTGAGCAGTCTGAGGAGAGGCCACCTCGGTCTAAATCCTTTATGAAGGCCCCGGTTCTGGAGTCCAGTGGGATCCAAGGCCTGCAAAGCTCCCAGCCGTACCTGCAGTCTACAGGGGACGATAGGTGGCTGAGCCAGTCCTTCTGTTGGGGGAGGACCAGCACAGGGCAGGCAGCAGGCCTGGCCTCCTGTGCACCCAGCCCAAACAGAGCCTGGACCTGGGGATTGGAGAGTGCAGAATTCGAACCTAGCACTTCCACCCCTATTGTGTGATGCTGAACATCGGAATAAGCTTCTCCAGGCCCCAATCCCTTCATAACCAAAATAGGATCAGCAGCACCGACTTGGAGTTCCCTTGGGAGGGGGTAGTGAGATCCTTGAGAGTATCCTCAAAGAATCCTGAGACTATATAGCTCTCTCCCCAGGGAGGGGTGTCCAAGGTACCAGGGATTTAAGGAAGCTCAGGCAGAGTTATGTGGAGTACCAAGTGGCTGTGAGTACCAAGAGGCTACACCAGGTGACCCAGGCACAAAGAACAGCATGCCTGGGGTGGAGAACAGTGCGTACAGAAACCATGCCCACCAGGCTAAAGGTCTGTACCTCGAAGAATTAAGCAGCTACCTCTTTGGCCCATCCCAGCAGCCCCTAGAAAGGCTGAATTGGCAAAACGGGGTGTTGGAGGCTGGTGAAGCTGTAGTTGTCCAGGCTAGAGGTAAGCAAGGAACCAGGATGGCAGGGAGACACGCCTGGGAACATCAGGACCTCCAAGTGTGGCCAGTGGTCCCCCAGAAACATGTGGCATCCCCATTAGGAACAAGGACTCAGCTAAATGTTCTCAGATGATGACTTTGGGGAAGTCAGCAAGATACAACCCAGCTCCTATTCTCAACAGTGCTCAGTCTGCTCCCAGAGAAGCTGGGTTAGGGAGTCTTAATGTCCTAACAGTGTTTCAGGGCGCTGCCAGACGACCCAAGGCAAGTCTGGTCCTTATGCAGGACTGAATGAGGAGGAACCAAGGGGCAGCTCAGGCCAACAGAGCACAGTTGATGCTTGATCTAAAGAGGATGCTACCAAGCCTGACACAGTAGTTCACACTTGAAATCTCAGCACTTGGATAGCTAAGGCAGAAGAGTTGCTGTGAGTTCAAGGCCAGCCTATGCTTATATGGTAGGTTCCAGTTCAAGCTGGACTAGAGGGTGACTCTGTCTCAAATCATGCCTCAAAAGTAAGCAGGCAGGTACTTCCCCAGCCATGGCTCTCTTGACCTTAGAAGACCACGTGAGTCTTTATCAGGGTTGCAGGCTGAGCCCTCACAGACTTGTACATACACCCGTAGCCTCAGATCCCCAAGAACCACCCAGCTGCTGCAACTAGCTCCCCTGTTCTCTGCATGGCTCTTGGTCCTACCCAACACAGATGGGGTCCTCAGGACCATGGTTTCCATTCTGTGTGTCCCTGGACAGATGGCTTGCCTCTCCTATAAAAGCTGTTCCTGCCTTGTAGCTATGGAGTACTCATACTCATTCCCAGCCAATGCCTAGAACACCTTAATGCCTGCCCCTCCCAAGTCTGGCACAGTGAAGTCAGGTGGAGCAGGATCCAGAGCCACCCATCAGCTTCCTGGTCCCCATATAGAACCAGGCAGGACAGCCAGCCTGCAGGAGAGCAACTGTTGGGCCACGTGCAAACATCTGGGTGGGTTTGGGCAGAGCCTAAGGAAAAGCCAAGACGAGCCACTCACCACTCACAGGTTGAGGAGAGAAGTAGCCGTGGCCTCCGGTACCCAACATGGAATCCATGGCTAGAGCATTCCATGGCCATGTACTCAGAGCTAGGAAGGACAGAGGTAGCCACCCACACCAATGTTCTGGGCATGGTATATCAGCATGGCCTCAAGGGAGGGAACAGAGTCAGGTGACTTGAGGAGACGTTCACTCTGTCCCTGGAAGCTTCCTGAAAGCTCTGAGAAATCCTGGGAAGGCCGACATGGCCACTCAGGATCCTGCGGCATGCTCACTGTAGCTGTACGGCTCTCTTGTGGGCATTGTGGGCATTTCTCACCAAGCCACACACCACCTCCAGGCCACACCACACCTCCAGGCCTCTCTGCTGGATCTCCTTCATTTATCTAGGTCCCCAGAGTCTTGACTCTGCAAGGTGGAGTGACCCGGAAGGGTTTGGGTGGAGGCAGAGCACGTTTAAAGCAGACAATTAAGGTGTCATGATGTAGTGGGATGGGGACAAACCCAGCAATCTGAGTGAAAGCAAAGGCCTTCCTGGCAGAGGTGTCAGCCTTGCTCAGCTGGTGGACACAGAGGGTACAGATGGAAGCAAAGACCAGTAGCAGGCCTCCAGCTCCACCCTCAGTGCAAGAACGAGGAGTCTGCCCAAGTGAGCAGTGGACAAGACCATGATTGCCAAAGCAAGAAGCCAGCCTTATTCACCCCACAGGCTTTGGCAGGATGGAGGTTCTGTGCTGGGCTCCGACAGCCCGCAGCCCCTAAATGCCCAGATTGGTGGGAAGGCACAGCATGCAGCTTTATAGGGGTAGCCAAGTCACCAAGGGAAGAGCAGAAGGCCGAGTTGAGGGGATGCTCAGAAACTAGGCAGGGATCACGCCTGCAGGAGAGAGGTTTCCCTCTAGCAGGCAAGAGTCCTGGCATTAAAGGTGTTGGTTTTAAATAATAAGCGGTGCTGGTCGAGAAAGGTCAGGAGCCACAACAAAACCCAGTATCAGAGCTTGATTAGGAGGAAGGAGGGGACAGAAGAGAGTGTGGCCAGGCCTAGGGCGGGGACACCTGCGGAGGAGAGAGAGAGAGAGAGAGAGAGAGAGAGAGAGAGAGAGAGAGAGAGAGGGAGTCTGTGTCCAATTTTTTAAGGATTCCCCTGCACATGCGCAGGTGGGCTCATGGAGCTACACCACAAATGCGCTGATTGCATGACTGTGCTGTATGCATTTGTGCAATCACGCAGCACACTAATAACAAGACGAGAGACCCCTTGCTCGGCTACTGAACTGCGCGTGTGGGGTCATATAACTGGAGTGGCAGAATCCTAACACAAGGGACACCCCAGCCTCAGGCTCCTTGGGGAAATGGGTTGCACAGCCCCTCTGAAGTCTGTTTGCATGTGACCTGGGGGACCTGACCCATCACAACCTGTCCCCAGCCATGCCTCAACTGGGCTATAACATGGGAGTTCTGACTCTGGCCACCTGGAGGGAAGAAGAGAAGTTGGCAGCGCCAAGCAGCCTCCACCACATGGGCTCACTCTTTGCTGAGGCCCGCAGAAGGCTTTTCTGGCCCAAGGCAGTGCAGGCCAGGGTGGAGGTAAAGAGGCGTAGTGGTCCCAATAGAAGCCTTCTCCTTTCTCGGGACAGGTGTGGCTGTCAGACTCAGACAAGTCTCTGTGACCTGCTGGCTTGCAGCTTTCCTCATCTTCAAAGGGCCAGGTCTGTCTATGCCTCTCCTTCCTCCCAGACTTCCCCAGGATACATACCCACCAAAAGTCCTCTCCATTGGGATTGGGGGGTCTGGGAGTGGTCACTTAATGATGCAGCAAGGACTTCATTGGGAGGAGAGGTTGGAACTTGGGGAGTCCTTGAGGGAGTATCAGGGGTGGAAGTCATAATGGAGACAGAGGCGGATGACTCAACAGAGAGAAAAAGAAGGTTGGGAAAGCCTGCCAGTATGAGGCCCCAACTGTGGACAAATCCAGAACTCCATGAACACAAACAGGACCAGGTCTTAGAGGCAGACACGATCACTAAGTAACTGGGATCAGGGATCAGGGACCAGGATGTAACGCTATCCTAGACCAGGGTCCAAGTGACCTGGGTCAAGGTTCAGAATCAATCGGACAGGATGAAGACTTGTGTTGCTCGGATGGAGAAACAGGACGTGGTGGGGATCAGAGTTCTGTCTGTGGCTCCGGGTACAACAGATATGTGTGTCTAGGAGGAAGGCACCACACATGAAAGATCGGGGTTCGAGACGTAACCAGGTCAGGATGTGACAGAGATTGGCCTTATGGTGTTTAGGGGCTTGGAGATCTGTGTATGTCAAGTCCAAAAGAAACTCCAGACAGATGAATATCTGGGGTACCTACTAGTGTACCAAAGCTCCTGCTGGCCTCCGGGATGTCTCAGAATCACAAGTACCTGTTCCAGGGTCCATCCTGGCTTTTCTCACCCCAACCCTACCCTAAACTTCTCCAGCTCGTGGGCTTCCCTCTCCTAGGTTCTCATTTCCTTATAACCCTATTTCTTTTTCTTTCTTTTTTTTTTTTTTTTTTTTTTTTTTTTTTTTTTTTTTTTGGTTTTTCAAGACAGGGTTTCTCTGTATAGTTTTGCGCCTTTCCCGGAACTCACTTGGTAGCCCAGGCTGGCCTCAAACTCACAGAGATCAGCCTGGCTCTGCCTCCCAAGTGCTGGGATTAAAGGCGTGCGCCACCACTGCCTGGCTAACTCTGCTATTTCAACTATTTCCTTTGTCTTTCTGTCTTTGCCCAACCTCTCTTTGTCGTCATCTCTCGCTCTCCTGTTCTCTCCTTTCATGGCCCAGCCCAGTCTGCTGGCCATGTTCAGCTTACTACTTCCTCTGTCTGCTCTGGATTCTTCCAGATGTCCCTGGCTGTATCTCCCTCACATCTACCATAAAAACCTTCCCCTCCACCATACCGTGGAGCGGTCATGCCCTCACTTTATACATCTGGTGCTGAAAACCTCCGTTTACACAGTCTATAATTAGGATCAGGGTTCACTGTATCTCTGGAATCAAGGCTCAGTGTGTAATCAGGATCCAGGCTCAGAAAGGGATCAGAGCTCTTAAAAACAAACAAACAAACAACAAAACAAAACAAAAACTGTCCTTTATATAGCTCCGGCTGTCCTGGAACTCTGTAGATCAGGCTAGCCTCTATCTCACAGCGATCTGCCTGCCTTTACCTCCAGAGTGCTGGAATAAAGGCGTAAACCACCACACCCAATAGAGCTCATTGTTTGACTAAGGTTAGGCTCAGGGTGTGACGTGAATGGAGGCTTCTTAGGTTACTGAGATCAGGGCTCAGTATCTGACAAGGATGAGAGCTCAGTGTGTGAACAGGCCCCAGTCTCAGAGCGCGGCAGGAACCAAGACTCACTGACATACTGAGATGATGACTCAGTAAACAAGTTTTAGAATTTACCGTCACACGACGACGATCTGGGCACGGCTTTATCCAAAGTGAGGGCTCCGATTCTTGGAAGGGAGCATCGGTGTGTGCGGGCCTCCATCCCTCCTCACCTGAGGAGACTCTGGGGTATTCTGAACATGATGGCTCCCGGCTTTCTCAAGGCTCAGGATACCCCAGAGCCCCGCTGGGTTATTGTGTCCTTAGCACCTCAATAGCATGTCTTGTGATTACAGATGGCCCCTGAGAGTTTCTGGGGAGGCAGGACCCTGAGGGCTGGCGTCACCCTGGGACTGATTCCCAGAGGAAGCGCTGTAATGTTTATTGTGAGTCTTTGATTGTGACATTCACCCAAGGCCAGAGCAGACAGAGCCTGGGGAGAATCTACAGAGAATAATCTGTCTTTGTTAGCTCTGGGGTCTTTTCTTCCAGCACATTCTTTGTCTTAAAGCAAGGACCCATCAAGTGTTACTGTCTCCTCCCTGGTGACCTTCTGCGTCCTTGATCCTAAGGTACAACCCATAGTCCCAAGGTGCCAAGTCCTGGCCTCACGCTCCCTTGTGTCCATAGAATACCTTTCCTGCTCCCTACCTGGTGCCTTGGAACCACAGGAAGCCACAGGAAGGCCATACCATTGACTCAGAAAACACTTCTGCCTGGAGGGGCCAAGGGTAAGGACCCTGTGTCCTGGGCAGCACAGAGCTCCTCCTAGAAGCCTCGGTGTGGTAGATGTCCGGGGTACAGGTCTCTGGGACAGAAGGTATGCTGGATGACCTCAGCAGTCACTGACTTCTCTGAGCCTACAGCTAGAGGTGTAGCCCCCAGTCCTGCCAGACCCCACCCTTCAAAGTCAAGGCTGAATCTACTTTGCTGGGATAGACATTGGACCCCCATTCCCCATCTACTGGGAGGCAAGAATCTGTGGCTAGTTCTAGGTTGGGGTGGCCAGAGGGCACCTGCTGCCTGAGGCCATGTGGCCAGGCCCTGGAAGTGGACAGTGCCTGGGCTGTTTATAGCAGCCAGCTCACAAGGGGGATGCAGGGAGCCAGCCTACGGATGAGGAAGGTTTCCCTGTGCCCTGCAAGGGGGTAGGGCAGTGGGCACCAGCAATGCTGCATGTGCCGCCCTCTTCCCAGAGACTCCTTTCTCCTGAAAAACCCCAAAAATGTCCATATTAGGAGGGTCAGCCAGCTGGGGGGGGGGGGGCCTCTGGGATCCTATTAACTCTTCCTCTTTAAATAAAGGGATAAATCAGAGCAGAGTTAAACATGATGGCAGAAACATAAACAGCGGGTAGCTTCGGCCCAACCCCCTGCCCGCCCCACACCACTCTGCACAGAGTCCAGCGTTTATTTGACTCACACCGGAGGCCAGGCAGCTAGGCAGCTAGCTTCGGCTGGGACCTGCCTCCTGGCTCCAGCTCTCAGCATCCATATAGCCTACTTGAGCACCCATTCTCCAGGGAAGGTCCAGAGTGGTGATCTGGAGCTGGTCTGAGAAGAGGTAAGAAAATAGACGAGAGCCCAGGGGCTGGGGCCTTGACACTGGGTGTGGGGCACAGGCAGGGCAAGTAGCTTCTAATCCCCCACGTGGGCCAGCTCGTCTTTGTCCCAGCAGAACTGGTTCATCATCCACCAGCTATGTGTGCAATGCTCCCAGAGGCAATGGGATTCCAGTGGCGTAGAGAAGAAGAGAAATCACCGTAGCAAAGGACTTGCCTACGGAAGTACAGCTAGGACACGTAAGAGCTAGCCAGCCCTGAACTCACACAGGGCTCTTTTCTCTGGAGTCTCGTGAAGTCTGAGGACAGTCCTCCAGGCAAATGTTTGTCTGTCCAGCAAGGACAGTCTCAGGAACCTCAACATCTTGCTCCGTGCACTCAGTATAGCGTCTGGGTGGAATGGAGAGACAAACAAAAGCATGGGTTGGGGAATGCCAGGTACCTGGGATAACTCAGTCTGCTTGCTTCCAGGCTCCTGGGGGTGCACTGACCACTGCCATGCCCTCTGCATCCCCCACGAGGCCCTGGGATGCCGAGCTCCCCAATGCCACTGCAGCAGCATGGGCCAATGGAAGTGTGTCAGAGAGGCCCCTGTTCCACCTGTTTGCCCAGCTGGATGAGGAGCTGCACAGAGACTTCCCCAACCTGTGGTTGGCACTAATGGTCGTGCATGGCACCATCTTCCTGGCCGGGCTGGTGCTCAATGGACTAGCATTGTACGTCTTCTGCTGCCGCACACGGGCCAAGACACCTTCGGTCATCTATACCATCAACCTGGTGGTGACTGACCTGCTGGTGGGCCTGTCCCTGCCCACGCGCTTTGCTGTCTTCTACGGTGCCCATGGCTGCCTGCGCTGTGCCTTCCCCCACGTCCTGGGCTACTTCCTCAACATGCATTGTTCCATCCTCTTCCTCACCTGCATCTGTGTGGACCGCTACCTGGCCATTGTGCAACCCGAGGGTTCCCGCCGCTGGCGCCAGCCGGCCTGCGCCAAGGCTGTGTGCATCTTCGTGTGGCTGGCAGCAGGCGTCGTGACCCTGTCCGTGCTGGGCGTGAAGGCTGGCGGACGATCGTGCTGCCGTGTCTTTGCTCTGACCGTTCTGGAGTTCCTGCTGCCGCTGCTGGTCATCAGCGTGTTCACGGGCCGCATCATGTGCGCACTGTCGCGGCCCGGCCTGCTACGCCAGGGCCGCCAACGCCGCATGCGGGCCATGCAGCTGCTGCTCACCGTGCTTGTCATCTTCCTGGTCTGCTTCACGCCCTTCCATGCCCGCCAGGCAGCTGTGGCGATATGGCCCAATATGCCACGCCACACAACCCTCGTGGCTTACCACGTGGCCGTGACCCTCAGCAGCCTCAACAGCTGCATGGACCCCATCGTCTACTGCTTCATCACCAGTGGCTTCCAGGCCACTGTCCGTGGCCTCTTCCACCAGCGTGGAGAAGAATCCAAACCCAGCAGTATGGATGTGGTCAGCATGCACAAGAGTACCAAAGGTCGAGGCCCCCATCAAATCCTCAGCACTGGCTCCCACACCCTCACCCAGCCTCTGACCAATGGGCCTGAGCCATAGGCAGCAGTGCCCTGCCCAGGGCCTGAGGTCAAGGCTCTGAAAGGTCACCCGCCAGACACACAACCTGGGCCTGGCCAACAAGTTGACATCCTATTGATCCACTGGACATGGCTACCCGGTGTGTTGCATTGACAAACTGAGGCCACTGTGCGGTGATTGATTAGCAATGTCTGCCAGGAGCTCAGCTAGGGGATAATGGTGTGAATGCTGGAGGCCTGCCTTTCCTATGGCTGTGTGGTGTCCAGTGAACACTCAGAAAGGTAACCAGGAGCTGCTTCTAGGCTCCGTTATTTTGTTCTCGGAAGGAGTTCCTCCAGAGAAAGCACAGAGGTGAATGTTCTGAGGACTCCCAGGAGAGTTAAACACAACCAGCAGTCTCCATCACCGGCAGATGGAGAAATAAGAACAGAAGGTCCACGTTTGGGGTTCAGGACTGTTATCTCCAGGGAGTGGAGACACCCCCTCGAGTGCCCCTGGCCTCTCAACTACACCACCGGCCAGCAGAGCAATACAAGTTGACCCACTGTGTGCCAGGATTTAGGTATCTGGCTGACACTTGAACGGCCACAACCCCCCAAAGAAGCTACTTTTAGTTTTAAACTTTTTTTTTCCATGCAGAGGGGGAGGTGACACAGACACCACCCCTGGTCAACGGTAGGGTCAAATCTAAGACCCACTCCCACAGCCTCCAGCATCCCAGCTCCTGCTTCCATGGCTACCTCCCAGATCCGGAAGACCCTCCCCAGGAACGCTCCTGAATCCACTGCCTGATGCCCCAGACTCTGTGAGGCCCCAGCCCTGTCCAGCGGGTGAAGACCTAGGAATAAAGATACAAAGTAACTCAAACTCTGGGCCTCCAACCTAGGGCCTCTGCGCTCCTAGGCTCTCTCCTCTGCCAGCCAGAGCTCCCCTGGAGATGGACTCTGATCACCGTCTCTGAGCGGGACTCCAAGGGGGTCTCATGCTTGTCTGTCTCAAATTCTGGGCTCCTGGTGTTTGGGGGAGGGGTCTGTGGTGTAGGAGCAGGCTCTGAGTCATAATCCCCGAAGCAGGTGAGGTAGGATCTGGGCCCAGATTGTACCCTGGTCTAATGAGAAGTCTCCTATGTTCCAGGGACCTGGGACCTGAGTGGCTGGGCACGGGAGGCAGGTGGGGCAGGGGTAGGGTACAAAGGGTCTCTAACTGGCTCCAGACAGAGTACCCCACCCAAGCTCGGGGAGACTGTGTGAGAGCGAGAAAGCCAGTCAGGGCCCCACTTTCCAGCAAGGAGTCTAGGCTTGGGATAGAGCTGAGAGCTAAATTGCTAGCTCAACATGCATGGGGTGCCCTGGACTCAACTCCCAGTACAGCACAACAGAGCAAAAAACGGACAAGAACCTGAGGTTTGGAGTAAAGGTGTTGTGGGGGCCGTGGGGAGAGCAGAACCCTTGAATAATCAGAGGTCAGTCTTGTCCCCACTAATCCCAATTAGGTGTCTAGGACATCGTGAGACCACTGGGGTGAGATGACAATGGATTGTATTTCTTGGCCGACATGACCTAAAGTCCAGACATCAAAGATATACCAGGAAAGACAGTGGGGCATGGCCCTGCTTGGGGCTACTTCCTGTCTGTAGACCTGAGAAGCAGGGGGCAATATCATGGCACTTTTTTTTTTCTTTTTGGTTTTCTGAGACAGGATTTCTCTGTGTAGCACTGGCTATCCTGGAACTCACTCTGTACACCAGGCTGGCCTCGAACTCAGAGATTTGCCTGCCCCTGCCTCCTGAGTTCTGAGATTAAAGGCATGCTTCACCATCGCCTGGCCATGGCACTCTTTTGTTCTTCTAACCGCCATGTCCCTGACCCTCACTAGAGTCCTCCTTTGGGCCTCATACTGAGGCCCCTCCCCAAACACAAGGTCATACAGAGCCAGAGACTCCAGACTCCATCCCAAGGGATCTTTCAAGTTCCTATAGGCTACTCACATCCCTCCCCCACGGCCCAAGTCTATCTCTGTATAACTTTGACTCCTTCTATGCTATGAGATCCACAGAGGCAGGGACTGTAGGCAATGGAAAGAGGAGCTGAGACAGAGCAACGGCCTACTTAAAGATGAGTTCAGGCCTGCCCCTCTGGGAGTCAGTGATGGTCCGGGAGCTACACCAGCCTCTTTAGCCTCACGTGAACATCACTCTAACCTTTTCTAGCACAAGCCCCTGTCTCTCACCCCAACCCCACTGATCCGGCCACACCAGCCTGTCTGTTACCTTTGCCCCTCTTCATCCCTACCAAAGCTCCCCCATCCTGGTCCCCCATTGTTGACTAATTCACACTAAAGAAGAGGGAATAAGTGGGCTTGGTCATAAAGACATTGCAATTAAACCAGGACAGTCCTCTCTAGAAGAAAGGGGTCTCAGAAGTGGGTGAAGAGTCATACCCAGGTCTAAAATAACAACATCAACCCGGGTTCCTCGGGGCCTTGGAAGCTTCTCAGGCTGTAAGAGCCTTTTAGTGGAGGATTTTGAGGGCCTAGGCAGGAGCTTGTCACCATGCAAGCCACGAGGACTGGCTGCCTTCTGCGGGGTCAAGAGCAAGGCTTGGGACCACTCTTCTGCCTCCGAGAACTCTGACTACCTCTCTTGAAGAGCTTTGGAACCCCAGTTTCCCCACACCCCACTCCTTTTTCCTCTCCTTGAAGTTGGAAAGTGGAATCCGGGGGCATCTTGACCTCCGGGGATCCAGGGGGCGGGGCCAGGAAACTGACAGGTCTCCCTGGTCCTAGGAAGCCAGACTATAACCCCACTTCAGAGATATGGCTGCTAAGGATCTGTCCAGGAGGGCTCTGCTCAGGCCCATGGTGCCCAGACTATGAGGTTTCTGTGTCCAGTCTGTCTTCCCTCCCAGATTTTCAAAACTCCCAAGTGACGTGAAAAGTGTATTTATATCCGCTGTAAACAGCATCCTTCACTAGAAGTCCTCGCCCTGAATCAACACTGTTTATTTTCCCTGTGCCCAGCTCGGCTCCCAGCTGGCAGGTGGGGGCTGGTGGGGGCGCCCAGACTAAAGGGACCTGTGTTGATCCTCTCTCTCTCTCTTCTCACTGTCCTGTGGAACAGCCAAGGAGGGAATAAAGAGGTAGGGGAGCAGCTAGATACCCAAGCGTCTCATCAGAGCCTCAAGGTGTGACCTGGAGGCAGGGGACCATTGGCCCATCTGTGGGCCTACTAAGTGCCTAGAAGCCATTCTCTCTCTGGCCTGAGAGGTGAGAGTACCCACCTTACTTCGTTGATGGGGGCAGTGTCTGCCGGGGTTAGCTTGGGGAAGTTCTGCTTGGTACCCAACTTTTGTCTCTCAAACGGCCTGTCTGGCCTTGGCCCAGGGAGGCTCAGAGGAGACAGGGACGCAGGGAGGGACGCTGGCTGTAGGAGACTCATCATTCTTTGTGTCTGGCACCGCTGTGCAGCCGGAGGCGTCTAGAGGTAAATATTAGGGACTGTTTAGATTAACCTCCATTAATAGCAGGAAATGTCACCTTGGGTGCCTGCCCTGGCTTCCTGTAGGCCTGAGGCGGGGCTAGTCTGGTTCAAACTGATGGCCAGCAGAGAATTGCTTTTTGCGTGAATTCCAGCTCTTCACACCCATTCGCCCAAGCTCAAGACCACCTTCTGGTGCGGGAAGGCTCTGCCTGCCACAGCTCCCTGAACCCCACTTTCACCTCCTAGGGGGACCCCGGAGGCCGGGGTGCAAATACCAGGGAAGGAGAGACCACATGGCTGATTGTAGCTCCCACCACACATACCCTCTGGGCTGGGCTCCCAGTTCTCAGAGGGAAAAAGTGAGGCTGGAAAAACAAGATGACAAAGCAGTGCCCTCCAGTGTCACCCAAAGACAGGACTGGAACGCCCCACACAGACCTCTTCCCATCCACATACACGGGAGCCACAGAAAATGTGAACCTGGCTGAGGAGGCGGAGAACAGCCACCTGAGTGCCAGCAAGGGTCACATGGCCTCAGAGCAGAGGCCGGGTATGGGGCCAGAGCAGAATAGGTAGAAAGTAACACACACACACACACACACACACTCACACACACACACACACTCA